CCGCATGAACCTAGACTAGAAAACACTTGCATCGACGACGGGAACGATTTGCAGTTGAGCCGGCCGATTGGATCAGAGTACGTAAATGCATACAATCGAACGCTAATGCAAACGCTAAAATGAAACCACGACGTGCAGCTTGTGCTTGGAGCCAGCGCTAAAAACGCAGCAGCATACATTTGCAAGTATTGCATGAAAAAGCAAAATCCCATCGAAAACGAAGTTCGCTTTTCAGTTGGTGTATTCAACAAAGCTGTGGAAAAAGCAGATCGGTCAACCCATCACACTGCAGAACGGAGAGGGTACAAATTGCTCTCATCTATGCTATATGCGCTGACGAACGGCCAAGAAGTTGCAGCACCAATGGCCGGTTTATATATTCATCGCGGTAGTCCATTTTGGTTCTCACATGAACATACGTATGTGAACCTCGAAAAGATGCTACAGAGTACAAATTCACCGACAGTTGAAATTACGATCCCTGAAGATATTAACTCGGATTCAAACGGACCCGTATCGAATGGTAAACGCAAGCTAAGTATGTACTGGAAACGACAAAAAGAGTTAGATAACGTCAATTTTATCACTATTTGTGAATGGTACCACAGCGGAAAGAAACAAGACGCCGATGGGGCGCTACACTTTAAAAAAAAATGCACATCGGCAACTTTTCATCATGTCAGGAAAGCAACTGCCAGATCTTAACGCTAACACATCTGATACTGACAGAAAGTTTTACTATTTGGTGCTTTTGACACTTTTTAAACCACATCGAGAAGGTAGAATTGTTGAAGGGTATCCAAACGCTGAACGCGCTTACATTGGGTTTAAATCCACGTGCTCAGCCCTTGAACAAACTCAAATGAGGGAATTCGAAGAGAAGTGGATAGATTATTACAGGTCTGAAGCTATAGAAAAAGAAGAGCAAGAATCACAAGAAGACATTCTGCTTCGCAAAAATCTCCTTCGAGAGCTCCATGGCAGCCCTACGATCGAGAAACAGAAATAGACAATGACAACTTTTCCGATGCGACAAGTGGCGACGGCGATAATAGCGACAACGAGTTAGAAACATACGTGGATCAATTAATCAGCGAAACATTGTACACGTGTCCTATTGATGCAGTTCAGAATTTGCGCTCCACAATCAACAACACATGCGATAATTACTCACAACCAGCAGAGGCTTTTGTACCCGCTTACACATCATTCGAAGACTACACCGAACATGTCACTTCATACAACATTACCAATAACACATCAACAGGAACTAGCGATTTCATTGCAGCTTTTCCTGAAGCCAAGACAAGATTAGAAAGACTCCAGGACTGCTTCGAAGCAGTTCCCTGGGGGCCTGATCAAGCCACAGCCATCTATACCTGCCTTTCCTAGCATTGAAACGGTCTCAAAGTCCTTTAGCTTCAACTTTTGGCAGCACGCGATATTTGAAATTGCAGCGAGGCATCTCCTATTTGCATACTTGTCAGATATCAAAGATGTTTTACAAGTACCATTATTTCCAGAAGATTTTGTCTTGCAGCCCTATGCTATCAAAGAACAGCTTATAGCGTACGTCGGAGAAGCTGGTACTGGTAAATCACGAGTAATTTTCGCACTACTACTATTTGCCGAGAAGTGGGGTCGAGAAGGAAGCGTTGAAACCCTTGCCTTTACAGGAGTGGCGGCAATGAATATAAAAGGCAGAACAATACACTCCGCACGCAACCTTCAGCTAAACGGTACACAATCCAACTCTCCTCCCAGTTTGCAAATGAAAAATGCTTTTCAAAAGGTGGTATTAGTTATAATGGACGAAATATCTATGACAGATCAAGGGTTACTAGGTTCCGCTGACATGACATCACGAGCAATGTCCGATCAACCCCACAAAAAAAAAAAAATAATGGGCGGAAAGCATGCCATGTACTTTGGTGACTGGTTACAGTTACCACCTGTACGTGGAACACCATGTAAGTTCTAACCAGTTTCTTATTAGTATCTTCGTTTGCTAATTGGCAATTCATATCATTCCCATGGTCGCAGGCTTTAAACCTCCACCTCTAGCAGCAAGCACCGCTAGGAATGTTGGGTTAGAAGTCTACAACTCCATCAACTTTGTCATCTTTCTCACCGAAAATATGCGTGCCAAAATCGACCCAATCTACGCAGAAATTTTGAGTGAACTTCGATGGGGTAGACTATCAGACGCTCACCGAAAATTATTAAACTGCAGAGTATTTACAGACGCGCGACGTTCAGTGAGTAAAGCTGGTCGTTCTCCGGATTCCTATTACAATCCTGTTCTTGTCGCCACTAATGCACTACGATGTGCAATTAATGACACAATGACAATCCAAGCATGTACAAAGACTAACACTACGATATACGAAATCTCGGCAAAGCCGACACCTCGATCAAAGGCAATCTTCAACAAAATAGTTAACGCAAACGACGATGAAACTGACCGAATTCCAATGAAATTAATCTGCTTCATTGGTATGCCAGTAATGATTACAAGAAAACACCCCGCTCTAAAAGATGCACACGTTATTGCTAATGGAACAACCGGAATCATAGTAGGTTTCGCGCCTCCACTACAAGAATCTGCATGCCGTAATAAACTAGTTCATGGCACTATCGTAAAAGAGGTGCTTAACCCCCCCCCCCTCCCCGACCTAATTATCATTCGCGTTCACGACTGCGAAAGCACATTGGTAGATGGATATCCTCCGGGAACTATCGGAATATCAGTTCTTAACGCACAGATTAAGCTGTCAAAATTCAAGAATCTAGCTCGTTCATCGATTTCAGTTCGTCAATTTGCAATAGTGTCAGCCTTCTCCTGCACAGCTGAAAAACTACAAGGGAAAACCTGCAAGGATGGCGTTACGGTAACGCCCTTAGAAAGACCAGGAATGCCACATCAACTCTCTATGTTGCACTATCACGAACGACATCACTGCAAAATCTAACACTTACCGAAGATATCACACAAGAATACATGCAGCAGTTCCAACCTCCTCCTACGTATGTAGCCGAAATGCTACGGCTCCAAGCTCTCATAGATGTGCCACCATATATTCCTTCTGAAGAGCTCTTAAAATTCAGTATCTGGCTGGAGAAAAACAACATACATACAGCAACTTGAAAAAATAGCCGAATATAAAAAATGGACCCACTCGATCCCGATCTGGAAAGCGTACCAGCGTTGAAGTCGGCGTCTTTGCTGTTGTGAGGGGCCGCTACTAATCTGCCATGGATGTCTGCCGCGCGCAGGCTCCAAGATTTGCCATAATGATCACCACCTGCCCCCAAGCTTCGGAACATACCCACCAAGCCTCCGAGTCCACTCCGACCCAAAAGACATCCAGCAGGCCTTCGGGGTCAGTCACGGGGTCATTTTATGTGACGTGGACGTCCGTCTGCCAATGAGATGGCAGAGGACTCCCACGTCAAGTGCTGCTGCACAGCACTTCAGTTTACGCTGGACAGCGTAATACGGGGATGCATGGTTTATATTCATTATATGCTATCCTATTGGCTGGTGTCAAAAGTAAACTTGATTATGAGACGCGTAAACATGGACATTCGCGCGACCTCATTGGCTGTAAATCCTCGAGATGTGCAACAATCACGTTTTCCAGCCGGACTTTTGATTATGGGACGCAAGTCACAAATTTTGGCCAAGCTACGAATAGGATTAGTATTTTTTCATTGGTAGAAAAGGATTGATCTAGGATTTGAGATTGATAGACTTTAGGATGGGACCTGGATACTTGTTTGCGTGTCCTGGTCGCCAAGAACTACTGGTTGCGCGGCGGCGGCGCGCCGACGCTAAACTAACGGATCAATCAATCACTTTTCAACTTTCCAACTTCCTCTCAAATGTTCTTCGAGCGCTCGCCACTGCGCTCATCAAGCTTCGGGTCTTCGCATCGGCTTGTGTGACATAGTAGCACTTGTCGTGTCAAGCTTCGGTTCAAGTTCAAGACTAGGTTGCTCGTGGGGATACCTTCCGAAGCGAGTTTACCTGTGACTATTGGAGTTAGCCACATAGTGGGGACACTCTAGGTTGCGAACGTGCAGTTTTCTGTGGGAGCACACTTCGAAGAAGTGGGTACATCACGCCGTGGGCAGGTGGAAATACCACATTGGGGCTTGGCCCACGCCAAGACCGGATAGTACCTAACCTTCGGGGTTGTGTTGGACTCTTACTAGAAGTCGGTTTAGTAACAGGGCGCCTGCTTTGTGTCTGCTAACGTGGAACATTGTAGAAGTATAACGGTCCCTGGTTAGTCCCTTGCCTTTTTCGATCTTTGGAGTCGGTCCATGGCCCGGTACAAAAAGGGTCATAACCACAGCAGTAAGAGGAAGCACCAAAAAGCGCGTGACGTTAAAGTATCATCAACGTCTACGCCGGCTCCTCCTCCTGTTACGGCTATTGACACCAATCTCTTCTTCTCGCCGGTCGAGGCGGAGAAATCTGCGAAATTGCAATCGGATCTTCTCAAGCAGGTCAAAACCGCTAAGAGGATCCTGGTTAAGTTCCGCAAAGAGGTCTGGGGTATCAAGGACGACAGCGTTGAGGGTAAGGTTGATCGGCAACTCAACTTAGCTCTTCTCGACCTTAAGAGCTGCGAGGACAACATTGCTGCGAAGATTAACGGGCTTATCCGCCTAAAACCTCAGAAACACTAAGCTTTAAACACACTTTTAGCTTCACTTCGTCTCCGTTTTATTGTACCGTTTTACGTCACTCACCGAAAAGTCCATCTGCTCGAGACCTAATGCCTGTGACAAGGAGTAGGGCGGGTGAGAGTGAATGGCCTAACCCGCGGCAGCGTCAAGTGCCGCGGACGGCTCAAACGGAGGCGGCAACGCCACAAGAAGCGCAAAGTGAAGCCCCATCAGCGGGGACGACAACCCCTGCGCCTGAGTCAATGTCGATGCAGCAGTTGATGTTGTGGATTGCACAGCAGCAGCAAATGTATCAGAATCAGATGCAGACCCAGTTGCAGATGCAAATGCAACAGGCCAACAGTCGTTTTCAGCAACTACTGGCCTCGCAAGGTGAACGACGGAAGAAGGATCCTCCCACGTATGAAGGGAAATTTGGCGAAGACCTGGAACTTTGGATCTTTGCTACGGAGGAGTACTACGCTAACAAACGAGGAATAATGGATGCCGATACGTCCGATTTTGTGACCATGATATCAAGCAGTTTAGGCAAGTCTGTGCTGAACTGGTATCGTGCCTTTTCGTCGGATTGTGATG